AAAAAAAAAAAGACACTTCTCAGATGAAGAAATAGAAACAGCAAATAAATATATGAAAAATGTTCAGCATCACTAGTCATTTGAGAGATGCAAATTAAAAGAACACTGAGATTCCATCTCACCCTAAAAAGAATGGCTATTATCAAGAAATCAACCAATGATAAATGCTGGTGGGGCTGTGGGGCAAAAGGAACCCTTTTCCACTGTTGGTGGGAGTGTAGACTGGTGCAACCATTGTGGAAATCAGTGTGGAGATTTCTCAAAAAACTAGGACTACAGGTTCCATTTGACCCAGCTAGTTCTCTCCCTGATATTTCCCTGAGGGAATTAAAAGCATCATACTACAGTGATATATGCACTCCCATGTTTATTGCTGCACAGTTTGTAATAGTTAAATCTTGGAACAGTCCAAATGCTCATCAACCAATGAATGGATAAAGAAGATGTGGTTTTTTTATACAATGGAATATTAGTCTGCCATAAAGAAGGATAAGACTTTTCTAACTTGAGACTTTTCTAACTAAATGGATGGACCTTGAAATCATATACTTTTTCTTTTTGGTGCTGGGAATCGAACTCAGGACCTTGTGCATGCCAGGCAGGCGCTGTACCACTGAGCTATATCCTCGGCCCTGAGACCATACTCTTAAGTGAAATAAATCAGACACACATGTTTAAATACCACATTGTTTCTCTGGTGTAAAAACTGAAAGTATAAATAAGGACCAAAATATATAATATATATTGGGAAATGGGAAGAAAATATTCAAATGAGAAGAGGAACAAGGGAGGGGGGAGGAAGAAAGGAAAGAAGGGACAAGAAAAAAAGAAAATAGAAAAAATGGAAACAAAGCTTTTATAAATAAACAGGGGGGGGTAAAGAGAGGGGAGGTGAGTGGAAAAAAAGAAGCAGCAAGTTATAGCCTGTCCAGGTACAAACTCCCTATGATGAATGTGATCCTTATGTGTAACTAACTGTACTAATAAAAAGAAGTAAAAAACACTCCCAGTGCACCTGCTCCTCTATGACCTCCTGTTGAATGAAGTCACGAGTGGATGCCTCTGCTTGGGGCATCTTGTTGGTGCTCAGAAAGCCGCAGGTTTTGGAGCACTTTGTATGTTCAGAGTGGAGACTCTAAGGCTGTAGCTGGGAGTTCCTAAGGAGCAGTAATACAGTGTGTGAAGCAGGAAAGGGCAAGCCGTGGGCTCGCCTCTTCACCGTTTGATCTCATGCCAGCACCAGTGTCTCCGCCTTAACTGCTCCACGCATATAATAGCAGCACTTGCTTCACAAACACGTGAGGGTCGCATGGGTCCTGTATGCAGAGCTCCTAATGCAGGGTCTGGCTCCATCATTTCCTCTCGGTGGTCACAGGCCTCTAGATCCTACCCCAGCTTCCTGCATCCCTGTCCACTAAGACAGCACCATGATGGAAGGCTGTGATAGCATCTCAGCTGTCGTAGTTGAGGCTCAAGGCAGAGTTTCAGTCAGGGGTGGTGGTGCGTACCTATAATCCTAGCACTTGGGAGGCTGAGGCAGGAGAGTCACAAGTTCAAGCCCAGACAGGGCAATTTAGTAACTTATTAAGACCCCAGTTCAAAATGAAAAATAAAAAGGGCTGGGGATGTAGTTCTGTTACAAAAGCCCTGGATCCAGCCTCCAGACAGAGAGCTCATCGTGTAGAATACATGCTGATTCCTGGTCCCACCTCCGGCCGCCCAGAGACTCCCCACAGACTCCCTTACCTCCAGCAGTGTCTGCTCGCCCGGGGAATTTTCCCTCTGTCTGCCTCATGGGCGCTTTGTTCTTGTCTATCTTGTTTTTTTTCTTTCTCTTGGTTTTGTCAATCAACTCCTCCTACAGGCAAGAAATTAAAGAAAGCTTCTATGGCGCATCCGGGAAATGGAAAACGCTATCAGAGAAGGACTACGCTGAACGAGCTGACAGAACGGCTTAGAATGGAACTTTCGTGGGTTCCAGGTCAGGCGGAAGAATGAGTCTTAGAGAACCGAGAGCCCGTGGAGAGACTGGAAGGCTGAGGCTTTGATCTGAAATGGCCAGAAAGAATTTCACGGGAGAAAAGGACAAGGAAACAAGATAGCCTTTGGGACACGATCTCCTGCCCCAGCACTGGGGACCGATCCCTGGGCTTTCTCACTAAGCTACATTCCCAGCCCTTGTTTTACCCATTACTTATTTTGAGACTGGGTCTTACTAAGTTGCCCAGGCTGGGTTTGAACCGGTGGCCCTCCTGCCGCCACCTCCCAGGGTTCTGGAATTATAGGTGTGCACCACCCAGCCTTGGTCTGCCGCCTTTCGTCATGCTGGGCCACGTTCTACCGAGCTGAAGCACAGTGCAGCCGTTGTTGCCTTTGAGAGAGGGGCGCTGCCGTCGTTAGTGGTTTTTACTTCGAACCAAAGCCAGCTTCATTCCCTGTGGCATCGTGTGTTCACTGGCAGGATGCCTCAACCTGGTGAGCACAGCCGCGTTTGGACACCCTCTCCCTACATGAGAGTCCTCCTGAGACATGGCAGTTGGGTCACGGCTGCCTCCGTGGGATTGGAGTGGGCCCCACCCTTCAGTCCCAAGCTGAGGTGCAGGGCTTGGTGAGCAGACAACAGCTGGCCCTTAGGCCCCGCTGTCTCTCTTGTCAGGTGCCTGTGTAGAGTGAGCAACCTAGACAACTGCCTATGGCAGCCTTGGTGGGATCCAGGTAATGAATGGCCTTTGGACCAAGTGCCTAGGAGCTCATACTCACAGGATGGATGCTGGCTGGCGCATGCTGGTTAGGCAGTCTTGATAAAGTTTTCCCTTTTTTGGCTCTTGGCAAAAAAGATGCATCCTCGACACTTGAGCTCTCGGGTGATGCAAATACGGGTCCAGGAAGTCCCCTGTGCAGCCGGTGAGCTCCGTCATCTCTGTCCCTGTGAGGAGAGCAAGCCAACCGGACCTGGTGAGACAGGAGTCTGGGAGGAAGAGGGCACGTGAACGGGCATCAGCTGGGCGCCTGGTTTCGGCCAGGGCCTGTGTGGGGGTGACACATGTGGGATTTTCTTTTCCTCAGCGCACACCTGGGCAGGAGAGATCCCCTTCTCTGTAAATCCTAAGCCTTACCGTGGGGACCGTACTTGGCCTCTTTGTGGGGACGTAGGAACTGGTGCCTTCAGGTGAGCGACACAGAAGCATGAAAGTGTGATTCCCTCCATCAAGGGCTTCACTGGGAAAAATGAGCTTTAAGAAAGATCTCTCAGGCACGCAGAGCTGTCTACTCCTTACCCCTCTGAGTTGTATTCTCTTTTTTTGTTGTTTTTTTGAGACAGTCTCACTGTGTAGTTCAGGCTGGCCTTCAACTCGCTATGTAGCCCAGGCTGGTCTTCAGCTCACAGTGATCCTCCTGCCTCAACCTCCTGAGTGCTGAGATTTGAGTTTTATTCTTGACCACATCCACCCCAACTGTGCCCGTGGGTGAAGAGGCCACCAGGCACTGCCCAGAGCAGCTGCGCTGTGTGCACAAGGTCGTGGCCCTCGGCCAGACATTTTCTCTTTTTAGCTAAGCCGGGGTATTTACCATGCTAGGCAGGCACAGGGCCTTACTGTGGAAACCTGAGAAATATTTGTTGAGTGAGGTAAATGGAATTTCCTGTAAATATACAAGTCTCTAAGTCATTCACTGTCACTCTATAAAAAACCATAGAAGTCTCCTTCAGAATTTAGTGCTAGAAAAACTTTTATTTCTCCCAAAGGATCAGGCAGCCTGCAAGTGAATGCCACAAACCTGATTGCGTGCTCTTTATTTTCTTCTTGTTCACATCTAAGAGTCCTGCACTGAGTCTGAAACTTAGTCACAGTGATTAGAGAGGTTGTTGTGTGGTTTTTATTTTAAAGGGTCTTACTGTGTAGTCTAGGCTGGTCTTGAACTTACTATGGAGCCCAGGTTGGCCTCCAACTTGCAGTGATCCTCCTGCCTCAGCCTCCTGAGTGCTGGGATTACAGATATGCACCACTGCACCTGGCTTTACTTACTCTTTATTGCCCTCCTGATTAAAAAAATTTTCTTTACTTCTTCCTCTTTGATGGTGGGTTGTTTTTTTAAATTTTTTTTTTATTATTTTACAGAGAAAAGGATAAACAAAATAATAAAAACAAAGACAAAACCAAAACAGCACAAAAACTGTAAAAATGATACAGAATTTCAAAACAAGATGATAGGAAATCAACAATGGTTGTTGTATTACTTATTGTTATCCTCAAAGTGAGGGTGAGTTGTTGTGAACATGTTGTGAGAAAAGCTGTCAACACATGCCTGTAATCCCAGCACTTGGGAGGCTCAGACAGGAGGATCACAAGTTCTAGGCCTGACTGGGGAACTTAATGAGACCTGTCCCAAAATAAAAAATAAAAAAAGGCTGGGGATTAGCACAGCGCAAAGGACCTAGATTCAATCTCTTGTACCACAAACCAAAACCAAAACCAAACAAAACAAAAAAACTGACTTGATCTGGGCATGGTGGCACATGCTTGTAATCCCAGCACTTAGGAGGCTGAGGCAGGAGGATCACCAGGAATTTGAGGGCCAGCTTGAACTACATAGAGAGTTCAAGGCCAGCCTGGACTACATAGCAAGACCCTGTCTCAAAAAGTGGGGTGGAGAAATGTAGCTTAATGGTGGAGTGTTCCTGAGTTCCATTTCCAATATGTACAAAAAATAAAGATGATCAGTGGAATTCCTTGGGTAGTTGCCTCAATCATGTAAGCACCGTTGTCCCACTGTTCCTGCGGAACACAACACTCTTCTGGCCCAGGAGGGGACCCTCACACTTCTGGCCAGGGGAGAGCAGGTTCTGGTCACTGAGGCTCACAGAGGCCACAGCAACCCAGAGGAAGGCGGAGACATCGCCACAGCCACAGGGGGCTCTGGCCAGATACCCGGCCTGCTGGCTGACCTGCTGGTCAGTGATCCCCTAGCAAGGACACGGAGTGCACGGAAAGCCCACAGAGAGTCAGCAGCCGTCAGCGGTACTAACTACCCGGAGCTGAGGGCTGCTGACAGAGAAGCCAGGCTTTCATGGATGGACCTCACTTCCGGGGCCCCTCTGCAGACCTCAGCTGTTCGGACAGATGGGAAAAGCTGCATCCCGTTGTTAAACTTCATGCTTTACCCCTCCCGCCTTAGCTCAGAACCCGTCACAGTGTAATTGTCCCTATGCATCTGTTTCTCTAATTGCAGCGGTCCGCATGCTGTCAGCTGCGCATGCTCATGTGTCTCAGAGAAAAACAGAAATGAAATTAACTACAAATAAGGGAAAACATAATGAAAGCAGAGAAGCCCCTGCCATTCCAACTTTGAACACTTACGTGTTTCTCACAGCGTCTGCCTCAAGGGTCTGGATGTGCTCCCCCAGGGCAGTGCCGAGGGGCTCAAGGGCCACACTCCTTGGCTCTGGGTCTGTGGAATAGCAAAGGATTCAGCAGTTATCCCAGGAGATCAGACAAGGGGCAATGTCTATCCAAGAAGTGGGCAACAACCTGCAAATTGGGACATGAGGTTTATGTACCTAGGAAAGCAGCAAATGCTGCAGGAATCGTGCTAGCACACAGCAAGGGATATTAACAGTATTAAATGTCCTCGGGGAGGGTGATATAATGGTAGGCATCAAGAACTAGAAAAATCACTGGGCACAGTGATGCAGACCTGTAATAGCACTCCAGGAGCTGAGTAAGATTGCAAGAGGCCAGCCTGGGCAACTCAGTGACTGTGAGACCCTGTTTCAAAACAAAAACAAAGGAAAACAAAACAAAATACTACCCCAAACCAAACCAAACCAAGACCCCCTTCAACCTGGAAAATATTCTAGCCTTTAATTTGGAATCTCATTCCTGGGTATTTATCATGTGGAAATAATTCAAAGAAGAAACAAGCTTTGTAACAATTTATTTATTATAATTACTGTTAATAACAGAAAGTTAAAAACAGCTGACCAAAGAACACTTGAGAAGTAACTTATGATATATTACTTTGGAAGGCAGCTATGCTAGCCACTGTACCACCAACGCCTCTATGATGCATTATTCTGACATTTAAAATTATGGTTAGAAAGACAAATCATCAATATGGAAAGTATTGATGGCATTATGACAAGCTAAAAATAAAGATTGTAGAACAGTATGCTAGAACTCTGTAAAATCTGGATGGGTAAGGATTGGAAGAGAAATCAGAAAAAGGAAATCACAGATTGGGAGATTTATTTTCTTTCAAATTTCAGTGGTTACAGTGTTGAGAAGCAAATTGATTTGAAAAAAATGTCATCCTACGAGGAAGTCATCTGCATGGCACACTGCTGGCCTTCCAGTCCCGCAGTCAGTCTGCTTCTCAGTGTTCAGTTGACCTTTGGTCCTCAGCCCTGGCTGCTCTACAACCTGAGGTCCCTTCTGCCATTCCTAGACAGTCCCTATCTCACACACTAGCCTGTAGATTTGTCAAAGGCCAAGATCTTTAATGAACCATTTGGTTGAAGAAACTGGAAAGGCTGATTAATGAGACTTCATTTTTTTTGTGTTTTTAACATTTTATTGGTATTTTAGATATACATAAGGATCACATGCATCATGAGGAGTTTGTTCCTGTACGTGATATAACTTGCTGCTTCTTTTTTCCCCATTCCCCTCCCCCTCCTTCTTTACAAAAGCTTTGTTTCCATTTGTTCCTTCTATTCTCTTTTTTCTTGTCCCTTCCTTCCTTTTCCCTTCCCCTCTCTTGTTCCTCTTCTCATTTGAATATTTTCTTCCCATTTCCTAATATCTATTCTACATTTTGGTCCTTATTTACACTTTCTGTTTCTCATACCAGAGAAACCATTTGATATTTAAACATGTTTGTCTGATTTATTTCACTTAAGAGTATGGTCTCAAAGTGCATCCATTTAGCTAGAAATGTCTCAGACTTATCCTTCTTGTTGCAGCATAGTACTCCATCATATAAAACACATCTTCTTTATCCATTCATCAGTTGATGAGCAGCTAGGCTGTTCCAAGATTTAGCTGTCACAAACTGTGCTGCTCTAAACACGGGTGCACATTTATTGCTATGGTGTGATGTTTTTAATTCTTTTGGGAAGATACCAAGAAGGGGAATAGCTGGGTTGAATGGAACTTCTAGTCTTAGGTTTTTGAAGAATGTCCACACTGATTTTCACAATGGTTGCACCAGTCTACACTCTCACTGGCAGTGAAGAGTTCTTTTTTCCCCACAGCCCCACCAAAATTTGTTATTGATTTCTTGGTGATAGCCATTCTTTCTGGGGTAAGATGGAATCTCAGTGTTCTTTTGATTTGCGTCTCTCAAATGACCAGTGATGTTCATATATTTATTTGCCATTTCTATTTCTTTATCTGAGAAGTACCTATTCATTTCAGATGCCCATTTTTGGAGTGAGTCTTTAAATCTGAGGGGTCTGATTTTCTCTTTATATATTTTAGATAGTAGTCCTTTGAGGAACAGCTGGCAAAATTTTTCCCCACACTGTGGGTTGTGAGACTTCCTTTTGTTTCATAATATGAAACATTAACGAAGAGTAGTGGCTGATTAAAATAGCTTCCTGACAAGAGGAATTCTGTTAGGGCTTCTTTTTTATGCTAATATTTAAATACAGCCCACATATAAAGAAACACGATTTAACAGGTAGATATTCAGCAGTCAGATGAGCAATGCACTTTTTTTTTTTTTTTTTTTTTTTTTTTTTTTTGTTTTTCTCCGGTACCGGGAACCGAACTCACGACCTTGCACTTGCCAGGCAGGCGCTTTTGCCACTGAGCTAAATCCCCAGCCCCTTAGCAATGCACTTTTGTAATTGCTAAGTTCCAGAATTCATGTAGGTTCAGCCCAGGGTTTCTGTAGTTATAACTTCTGGTTGTAAGGACTTCTTTATTTAACCCTGTTGGCTCAGAAAAAGCTGTGGTTGAAGAATTCGCTTCTCCCCAATGATTGTCAATTTGAGTGCAGAGCGCGATGGTACCAGCAGAGGGCGTATTTGTATAGACCATAACCTGAAGTTCTGCATTGGTGTAATTTTACCATTTTGCTAAGAATTGAAACCCTGTCAGTTTGCGATTGTGAACCAGAGAAGGGTGAATTCTTTCCCTTAGTAAAATAATCTGATGTTTAGGAAGTATTGGAAAAAACTAAGTAGAACTTTGAATAGTAACTTACGACCTATAGCTGCCTTTTAAAATCTATGAACATGTCTTAAATGTGCAGAGCACAGGAAAAAACTGTAAAGTCATTACCCAGGACCTCGTATGTAGCGCTGTGAAGTTTTAACATTTTGCCATATTGGATTCTCATGTTTTCCCCTTTGGAAATAAACATGTAGACACAGTTAATGACTTCGTCAGGTCACATACTGCAAGGGTTGGAAAACTTGACGGGAAACTTGACCCCACTGCCACAGAGCTGGAAGCAGGCTGGGGAGGCTTTTAGGTTGGGCTGGCTCTGCCTGCAAATGGAGTGCAGACTGCTGCTGCCCAGGGGCCTGCAGGATGGGGCTGTGCTGTCCCTCCTCTGCCCTCGGAGAACAGCTGTCCTCTCTTTTCCCTCCACCCCCCATGTGTACACGTGGAAGAAAGCCCACACCAGAGCCGGCACCTTGCTTTTGGATGGCAGCCTCCAGAACTGTGGGAGAATCAGTTTCTGTTCTCTGTGACTACCCAGCCTCAGGTGTCCTGTTACAGCAGCGCAGAACAGATGAAGACACCATCACCTATACCTCGCTTGCCCTGCAGAGGCTGCTAGTGCCTTAAACTTGGTATTTATCAGTCCTGCACGTTTTTATATCTGCACCACTTATACCACACCTGTGTCTTAGTACATTTTGTGTTGCTCTATCAGAATCCCTGAGACTGGGCAAAAATGCACCTAGTTCTGGAAGTCTGAGAGCACCATCCAGCATCTTCTCAGCTGCCTGAGAGGCCTCTCACAGAAGGCAGGTGGGGCAGGGGATCCGGCCTCATGGTGCAAGAAGCCAGGGTCACAGCAGCCAGCCCGCTCCCAGGAGAGTGCAGGCCTCTGCCTTCTCTCCCTCTTGCCGGCCTTGCCGCCTCTCAGTACCTGTGGAGACTGCCTGGACAACTCTCCTTGAAAGAAGAGCAGTTGTCTCCATTTGGGCTAAACCTGGCCCTATTCCCATGTATGGACATGTACAGAGCTGGCTAGGATTTTTCCTTATCCCTTCAACTGGCTTTAAGCAATGCAAATCGGTCCAGCTGAGGTGCTGATGTGCAGTCTTTGAAGCAAGGTGACAGGTCAGTGTTACCCCACCCTGTAGCTCCCAGAAAACATGTGTGAGCCCAGTGGGAGGGAGAGCCAGGCTCCACACTGTTGTCTGGGGTTGAGCCTCGAGATAAGAGGCTCTGACTTCCCGGGGCATAGAAGATTACACATCAGAGCTGAAGCACTGACCCTAGAACATTCAGTAGTGCCCCAAATTGTGTTATGCAGATTACTCTTTCTGCATATCCTTCTCTCTGCATATGGCAGAGGTGATTTCAGGCCTCCTACCTAGCCCAGCTCATGGCACTCACATACTTACCACCATTCTCATAGTCACTCATCCCTGAGCCACTCCCCTCTTCACAAATTAATAAAACCTGGGCCTGGCCCTAGATCGAGGCCTTTTGTTCTGGTTAGCCATCATCCTAGCTGGACTTAGGACCCCCTTGGCTCCCCACCATCTTGGATATGTAATTGTGTCTCTGTTTACACTGTGGGTTATACTGGAAGTGGTAGATTGGAATGAATTTGCTAGAATTCCAATAACTTTCCTTTGGGATTACAAATATAAACTTTGGACCTCAGTGAGAACCAGAGGGGCTCTCTATAAGTACCGTTACAGTGAGGAAACCCAGCCAAGAGAGACTCCGGGCACACAGAAGTCCTAACTGTTGGAGGTGCTGCAGAGGCTTAGGCTTCCACCCTCTCCACAGGGCCCACGTGGGTGCCATCTAGAACGTCAGCCCAGGATGGAACCCACACAGCACAGGGACACCGCCAGACATACGTGAGCCTCCAGGATTCGAACACCCAGGCACTGCCCTTGGGGACCTGCCTGGCACCCCAGGGTTGGCGAGGAGCTGTTGGTAAGGACAGGGTGACCTCCGGACTTCTCAGGACTGCAGTGGTGCTACTGAAGTCACAGAGGCTAGGGTCCCCCGAGGCGCTGTGCCCCCTGCCGTTGCCACTGCCCCAGAGGAGCAGGAGTTGCACCTGCCTGGCCGGTTGTGGCTTCTCCTCTCCCTCCTACCAGCCACACCTTTTTCTCCCCCTTTGAAAAGCCTGTCAGAAGACTCTTTTCACTTAGATTTGTCTGCTTGTTTTGTGTGTGTGAAACATTTACTTAAATCTCTGTTACACCTTGCCCTGTCTTCTTCCTGTCTTTTCCCCTAAAAGCGACA